AAAGATTCCAAATATATATATATATATATTTATTTATTTAACCATCTTGTTTCTTCTGTCAGTGTTATGGTTTTGGGGGCCTGACTCGTGATTTCACACACTCAGCATTGGCAGTACTTCTGCTGAATGATCTGCTCTCCCTATGTCGCAGAGCTGGACTGAGTGAAAACCAGTGACTTCTTAAAGCTCTTTCAAGTTCTGCCTGAGTCTGCAAAAGCAACTGGGAAGGGGAATAATCCTAGAGCTGGAGTATTTCAGCTAGGGCAGCACCCCCCCGCCATCCTGCGTGAAGGGTCCAGACGACTAATCCCATTCCCTTCTTCCTCTTCTCTATATCAGCTGCCTTAGGGGCTTTTTAGAGTGCCTGGTCACTTATCACTTCTGCTGAAGGGCACAGTCTAATGCAACTATGAACCTTGTTAGTGGGAGAGGTTGTGAGAACCACTGTGATCCCAGGTCCCGGCATCGTGGCTCTGCAGTATTTCAGCACGTGAAGCCGTTGTTTTCAATGGCAGGCTTCTTGGTCTGGTGGTGTTTGTTAAAACAGGCATTTATTGGGAGATAACGGTAGGGACTGGCAGCCTATTTAAATCACAGCTGAGTTTTATATTATAAATTACATCAACTTTTGGAGTGCCAGACTTCCCAGAGACGGTTAATTCCTGCCTGACTAGGACCCTGTCTCTGTTCCAGAGTCTGCAGTGGTGGCTGATTTATTTACTGGGGGATTTCATCAAGACTTCTGGCTTTAACCTATACAGCCCTACGTGACTTGGGTTCTCCCTTTCCTTGAGATCTCCCTCTCTTCCTGAGTGTTAACATGGTAATAAAGGTCAAATGAAGCATTCCAGCCAACGTATCCCTGATCTAGTTAGGAAAAGCTGATGGCAGTCCAGTTTTGGGGTGAGGGAAGGGTTGTGGGGCCTATACTGCTGTGAAAGGACCTCAGAGCCTGTATAAGGACTTTCCTCACTTGGCAACAACGGGATGACGTGTGGACGGCACACGAGGCTAGAGCTCTCTGTGTTTGTTGCCCAGAAGCAGTGCTTCTCACAGGCCTGCTTGGATCTCATGGGGATGGAGAGCACAGCCAGAGAGGGAGGGATGTGCTTATGAAACCCCAGCAGCTGCGTGCAAAGGTGGTGGGATGTCAGATGCTCCTGCAGCCTCCCTGGGGCAGTCCTGGGGAAGGGGCCCTCTGCAGAAGTGGTGGCTGCATGTTTCAGCCCATCCACAGCGTTCCCACATGGCTGGAGGTTAATGTCCACCTTGTGTTGTCCAACGAGGTTTCATTACCCTTCAGCCAACCAGCCCTTTCCTTCTTTGAGGGAGGACACTGTTTTCCAGTGCCTTTTCAATTACTCTTGCTCAGAACAATGAGCTTGATCCTACCTGAGCGAGCTGTGGTTTCCTGGCTCTCACTGGCTGGGCTATAAACCCAATTTGGCGTCAGTTAATTTGGGAAGTGTTAGGGTCTGGCTATTAATTAATAGCACTTTCCTCACGGGGTGCAAACTGAAGCTGATGTGCTGTAATTAGGAACACACACAGGCTCAGAGGGTGATTTGGGCATGAAGTTAATGAACTGTAAGTCCCCATAGCTGCGTAGGAATTTGAGCGCAGTAACTCCAAAATCAGCTGTGGAGGGAGAGCTGGAAAGCTCTGGAGAGGAAACACAGGGGGACCATGCAAATCAGACCCCAAAGCGGACTAAAGCAGGAAGGTAACATGCAAACTACTCTCAAGAGACAGCGATAATGCATGGTCCTCTGTCTTCTCGTCTGGCAGTCGTTGCCTCCCCTTGCTCTGGGATTGAGGTCCTACTCCTGCTCGGAGAGCTATGGGCAGTGCTGGAGGCTGTATGCTCTCTGCGGACCATGCTGCTCGTTTTTGAGCTTTCTGAAGTGAGTATTGCTGGAGAAGAGCCCTGCAGAGACCAGCGGGGAGATGTGGGAACAGAAACAAGTCTCTGGTGGCAGTGACCTTGTGTTAGGGGCCCACGGCAGCAGTAACACCGAAACTTTGAAGGCCACCTGCCTGCAAAGAAGAGATGGGGCCACCCTGGTTGTGCTGCCTGAGCCGGGTGCCACCACCGTAGGGCTGAGCACGCTGCCGGGAGCCCCTCGTCCACTGACCACCTTTCTGTGTCTCCCCAGCTGTCTGCGACCCACCGTGCCAGAACAAGGGCTCCTGCAGCCGTCCCCAGGTCTGTACCTGTCGCTCAGGCTTCCAGGGCTCCCGATGCGAAGAAGTCGTTCCCGAGCAGGAGTACCACCCGCCCGGTGCCGCCGCCGCCTTCCAGCCCCCTGCAAGCTCCCTCCGGAGGAGGACCAGCACGGCAGGGCGGGATGCCTCTCTGCGAGGGGCTCAGGCACCCATCCCGCGGCACATCCCAGCTGTGTAAGTCAAACCCAGTTCCCGGCAGGATGCTTCCCCAAACCCACAGGCAGCTAACGCCACGCTCGGTCAGGCCACAGCCTCTGCTTCACGAGAGCAGGCAGCTTGGCTCCCGGTGGAGGCTCCTGCCCACACTGTGGGAGCTGACGGAAGGGGGTCGGGCCCTGCTGTCCCTCCAAAGGACTTGGTTTGGCCCCAGCACTGTGTCACGGTCCCCAGGCACACGAAGGAATGGGACAGGCTAGTGGCAGTCTCATGGGGAAGGAGGACCATGAAGCTCAGCAGTTTGCCCTTGTCCAGTTGATGAGCAGTGTTGGTGATAGCAGCAGGGTGGATGGAGGAATGGGGTTTAAATCTCTTTCCCAAGAGGATGTGTTTAGAGCAATATGTCCAGGTGGTATCCACAGGAGGGTACCTAGGTACGAGGTGTGCTATTAAATGCCGGTATGAGCAAAGTGATGATGCTCGGAGGTGTCTCCTGGCAGACTCTAGCCATTATTGAGCCATTTGTTCCATATTTCTGTGTCACCCTGCTGTGGTGTGGGTCATTTTGGTACCCAGGCAGGCACCTCTATATTGGGTATGGAAGCAAAGATGCAGCTGTTGGAGCTCACAGAGGTCCGTGCAGGAGAGGCTCTGTGAGGAGCACGTTGAGCTCGGAATGACAACTGTGGCATCGTCCAGTCCTTTTGGGTGAGGAAGAGCTTATGGCTTCTGCCCCCCTGCCTCAGGCCAGTGTTGAGGTGCTCCTGTACCCGAGCTGCAACTCCTCCACACTTTGTGTTTTGTGAAGTCCCTCTGGAGCTGTGGGTTTTCTGTTGAAGGAGGCAGTAAAGGTGGGAAAGGTGCCTTTCCCTGACAAGCACTTCTGTGCTGCTGGCAGCTCAGTGGGGATGGAGAGGTGGGAATGGTGCCTGCTTGCTATACAACAACGCACGCGTTTTTGTTTTTTTAAAAAATCACCTCTGCTTTTCTGTAAGTCCATCGATACAGGAGCAAAGTGTTAGACTGCACCACCCCTAAAGGCCCATGTTCTTGCTGCTACTCACCCAGTTGCTGGGCCAGAAAGACTGGTTTTGTTGGTAGCCACCACAGCAGAGAATTTGCACGTGGCTTCCAGCAGAAGTCCCTCAGTCATAGTCAAGAAGACATTACAACAAATTACAGGTGCCTAACGAGGATGTAACTTCAGTTTCTCCTTTTCTTCTCTGAGCTGTTTTGACTTCCTCTGTCAGCATCACTTAGAGCTGTCTGAGGAGAGAGCAGGTCGGCCTTTGTTTTTCTGTATTTCTGCAGGTTGTATTTAAAGTGTCTGTTGCACTTAAAGTAGCTGTTGCCTTTCTGTCTCTTCTGAAGCAGAGGCAATGCATGGGCTGGAGACATTTCTAGACACTTACTCTCGGCCATCTACAGTTTTGGAGGGGCTCAAATGACTGACGAGGAATTGACTGACATGAAGTAGTTCACTGAAGCCAGCATGTCTTGGTGCCCAACTGAAAGAGTATCTGATGGGAACCAAATTCAGGCAAGACAGAGATGATGCTGGCAGGGAGAGGTGGCCAAGCCCCTGTCATCGCTGCCCCGAGAGAGGCTCAGTGCCCGAGCGAGCATGCAGCCCTCGCACGTGCCTGCAATCCTGGTCATTGCTGACAAGTTTCCCCCCAGTGATGACCTCCTCCTGCCCCTCCGTGACACTGCTGTGTGTGCAAGGACTGGAGGGGAGGGAGAGCAGTGCCCTTGGAGATACACCACCTGTTGAAGGCTTTCCCAGTAAGGAACATGACCTCAGGCTCTGTGCAGAGGACGGGGGGCTGTGCAGGCACTGGCAGAGCATTCCTGTCCAGGCAGTCAGACAGAGTGTCTAGCGATCGCTGAGCTGGGATTGCTGAATGCCCGGCTGCCTGCCGTACCTTAAATCCTCTGGCGCTGTCCCAAGGAAATAGGACTCCATTAAGGACCGTGCTGTGCCTTTCCACCTTCCCTCCCCATGGAGGCCATAGGACGTCGCCTTATCCCACAAGATTCGGCAAGAGTATTTGACGTTTGTCCTTTGCGATGGCCACAGGTAGGACCCCGGGACACGGCCACCACTCTCTGCCTTCTGGAGTGGTCCTGTGCTGTGCCTTTCCTGCCTGAGCGATGTGTAGCGGTGCTGTGCAGGCAGGTGTGGGGCTGCCTGCACCCTGGCATCGGTCTGCACTGAAATGCCACACTTCAGCCCCTGGGTGTTTTCCCGTGCAATTCAGTTGCTTCGGTTTTGTCCATGGACCATATAACATATGGCAGACAACCGGCATGACGTAAAAGCCTTACTGCCGTTAAATGGGTTGTTTTCCAAATACTTTTGAGTGTTGTCTTCAGCCTGCCAACTTCTGGGCTAGCTGTGGAGCCTGTAAGAATGAGTGTCTGCAGCCGAAGGCTCGCTCCTGCTGCTGTTGCACCCGGCCATGCCCTCCAACTGCTTCCCTTGTACTGGTGTTGGTGCTCATTGGGCCCCATGGCAAGTTGGCTCAACAAAAAAATAACACAGCAAAATTAAGGATAATTTTCTGCCACTTCAGTGAACTAAATTGAAAGATAACATGAGGACCAGAAGGACTGGACAGAATTGTAAGGCTAGCATTTCAGGGGGAGGAAAGGGGTGGACTCCCCTTTTGGTGGAAGCCATTTATTAGGTTGGTCATTTGTCTCATGAAAACTTGCTCTCAGACTTGTCTGAACTTGGAGCCTGCTTCTTGCAGTTACAGCATCATCTATTTCTGTGCTACCACTAAAGTAATTTCTGTGCTTCTGCATCAGGCTTTCTCCATACAGTTGGGCTGTAGCAGCAAAAGCAAGAAACATATTGGCCTTCGCAGAACTAGGTAGATCTTGCTCATATTTGCAAGTATGAGGATCAATTCTTAGGCACTGCAAACTTGGGGTCACCTTCACTGGAGTTCAGTTCACTGTCAAGTTTGAGAGGAACAGCTTGGGTTTTCCATGGTCTCCTCCTGGATAAGGATGGGTTGTGCTGGTGGAACACTGACTTTTTCTAGTGAGCCTGACATGGTCCCACAGCAGCTGGCTTGCTTGTCTGATTTGTTGATAAGGAAGAGGTAGAAGAAGTTCTTGGGTTTCTCGGAGGACACTGGTGGTTCCAGGTCAGTGGTTGTGAGAAGACTGTGAGATCCAGGACAAATGACCAGTGCCCAACCTCCCTGGACATTCGCATTGCTAACAAGGAGAAGTTGCACAAGAGTGGGAGCTTATAGACCTCTAAGCCTCATCTTGCTATGCCAAGACAGGACATCAATCCTCACATGAGTGAATTTGCTTTCTCCTTTAGTTTATTGGTGTGTATATTGGCTTTATTTGTGTTTGTTTGTACAGAGGTAGCAATCAGAAGCTCTGAAGTCATGCACTAGAACAACGCTGTATTAGATGTTGTATAAGCATGCAACAAAACCCATGAATCCTCCCCAGAGACTTGCTCGCTAAGCAGAGATGGGGTTGATTTTGATTTCAGCATGTTCTGAAGTGAATCTTTAGAGAGAGTTAGGAGAGCAGCCTCCTAGGTTATTGAGGAACTGATTTCTTATCCTCATCTATTTGGACTTGCTGCTTACGATGACTGCCACTTCACTGTGGAGAGTGGCCTGCTCTGGAGGTAGAAACTCTTTGGGAGTCTGGAGGAGCCTGTAAAGCCTTGGTGAAAAGCATGATGAGGCAGCTGCCTGTTTTCATGGCCCTGTTTCTGACAAATGTGCTCAGGCTCTCCAGAGGTCATGCCTGGAAGCAGAAGCAGCGATGCCTTCTGCGGCTTCCCTGCCAGGAGAGCCCAGGAAGAACGACTGTGACAGCAGGAGATAAGTTACTGTCAGTCTTCTGCCCTCAACCTTGGTGAGAAGTAGCAGCTCCTTGACAAACAGGGTTGTACCGGTCATACGCAACTGGTTGTACTGGTAGGTTTGTATTTGCACCTGGCAGGTGTGAAGGTTAGCAAATGGATCTGTGGGCATTCCCAGTGTAGCTGTCATAGATCCATTTCTGGGCATGCTGGCAGTCCTGGGAAGATGGGGACGTGGACGTCAGCCTGAGCATTGTGCTGAGCACAGGTGTCAGTGCTGCCATGTTACACACAGCCATCGGTGCCTCTGTTTGAAGGGGTACCAGGGAAGAATCACTGCATCCTTGGTGTGCCCATATGGTGCACGTTATCTCTTCTTCCTGGGACTAAAGAAGAAGACATAGCCAGCCTTATCTGAGCTCAGCCCTTGCCCAGGGGAAGACATGGCTAGGAGAAGGGCAGCTCTGGGTTTACTTTGCTGACACCAGAGCTGGTGATGCTCAGGCTTTCATCCCTGAAAATACAGGCTGAGCAACGAGTACCAATTCCCAAGTCCCTTCAGCAGGCCATGGCTCAGCGGTGGTTTAGAGCTGGGCCTGTGGGGGCTTGTTAGCTGCCGCAGAAGCTGGGAGGCCCCGGCGCTGTGCTGCTTGGAACAGGGAGTGCTCTGGAGAGTAAAATCCTGGGGGTGTTAGAGGCCCTGCCGGCATGGACTAGCTGCAAATCCTCCCTCCTCTTGATCTCAGCCTGAATCTCTGCCCGGAGAAGCAAAGCCCCGATGGATGATTGTGCGGGTGGAGCTGCACCTCAGCCCAAAAGCCGAGCTAAATGGAAACAGCTTTGTTTTCCTAAGGCTGGAGTATCAGCAGAATTGATTTAGCAGGGAGTGGAAAGGGCTTGCGCCCCTGCCCCTCACCATCGGGATGGGCAGCCAGCTGCCTCTGAGCTCCGGGCTGTGTGCGAGGAGGGTCCTGCCACTGCCACCCGAGAAGGTCCCTCCTGCAGGAGTGCTGGGCATAAATCTGTAACCAGCATCTATGCAAGGGAGCCATGCTGCCCAGATGGGATGTGTGTGCTGGACAAGGGCTGCCTGGGAAGCAAGACATCCTTCCTCTTCACAGAAAAGAAGAGATGCCTGGGACCTGCAAAGCATTTTCCCAGCAACCCAGGCAAG